AAATTGATGGAGCTGGACTCAATCTTCAAGTAAATATCGTGGTTTGAGAAAAATATTTAAACACTCTCCTGAGCGAGTATTTCAAACCTTCTATGATGAACTGAATGTGCCAGTACCAGAAATTCCAGGAAAAACAAGAAATTGGTTTTTGCAATTAGCCGAGCATATAGCCCAGTCTCTCAATGTCACTTCATGTTATGTATCAGCACAAGTGTACTATATGAATCATTATCGATCTATGGCACAGGAAGACATAAGTAGCGAAAATAAGAGTGAGAACTCCCACTAATAAAAAGTGAGAGTCTCAAAGGGGGGAAATGAGAGAAGAGAGACAGACCCTCTCATATTGTTTTATATTGTTTTATACTCAGAAAAGGAAAGAGAAGTGAAACTAAAGGCAGGTAGCCTGGCGTCTAGGAACCAGACCTGAAACCAAGGAACCAGACCTGAAACCAGACCTGGGCCTGCCTGATCTAATCCTAGTAGTTAAAGATCGACCCCTGACCTAACCGGTTATGTTACCTATAGATTCCAGACATTGTATAGAAAAGACATTGTGAAACTTCCTGGTCTGTTCTGTTTCACTCTGACCACCGGTGCATGCAGCCCCGTCACATACCCTCTGCTTGCTCAATCCATCACATGCAGACCTCCTTAGAGTTGTCAGCCCTTAAAAGGGACAGGAATTGCTCACTCAGGGAGCTCAGCTCTTGAGACAGGAAGGAGTCTTTCCGATGTTCCCAGCCAAATAAACCCCTTCCTTCTTTAACTCGGTGTCTAAGGAGTTTTGTCTGCGGCTGGTTCTGCTACACTGTGATTGCACCAGTGCACTCCAGCCTGGGCAACAGAGAGAGACCCTGTCTCTTAAAAGAGCGTAAGGGCCGGGTGCGGTGGCTCAAGCCTGTAATCCCGGCACTTTGGGAGGCCGAGACGGGTGGATCACGAGGTCAGGAGATCGAGACCATCCTGGCTAACATGGTGAAACCCCATCTCTACTAAAAAAAATACAAAAAACTAGCCGGGTGAGGTGGCGGGCGCCTGTAGTCCCAGCTACTCGGGAGGTTGAGGCAGGAGAATGGCATAAACCTGGGAGGCGGAGCTTGCAGTGAGCTGAGATCCGGCCAGCCTGGGCGACAGAGCGCAACTCCGTCTCAAAAAAAAAAAAAAAAGGAGCATAAGTAAAAAATGAGCTGTGCAAAAATATGCCTGTAATCCCAGCACTTTGGGAGGCTGAGGTGGGATCACTTGAGCCCAGGAGTTTGAGACCAGCCTGAGCAACATGGCAAAATCCTGTCTCTACAAAAAACAAAAAAAAAAAAAGAAAAAAAAAATTGGCTGGGTGTGGTGGCACACCCCTGTAGTCCCAGCTACTCAAGGGGCTGAGGTGGGATGATTGCTTGAGCCCAAGAGGTTAAGGCTGCAGTGAGCTGTGATCTTGCCACTGCACTGCAGCCTGGGTGACAGAGTGAGACCCTGTTACAAAAAGAGAGAGAGAGAGAGAGACACTATGGCCTATTCCAAAGCTCAAAAGCAGGAGAGAATCCTCAAGCACTGGGAGAAGATAGGTATGCATGGCAGAAAAGAATGGAAGCTAGAGGATAATCAGAGAAAAATAGGCTGCTGGCTGTGAGTGGTGGCTCACGCCTGTAATCCCAGCACTTTGGGAGGCCAAGGCGGGCAGATCACGAGGTCAGGAGTTCAAGACCAGCCTGGCCAACATGGTGAAACCTCATCTCTACTAAAAATACAGAAATTAGCCGAGTGTGGTGGCATGCCCCTATAGTCCCAGCTACTCGGGAAGCTGAGGCAGGAGAATCACTTGAACCTGGGAGGTGGAGGTTGCAGTGAGCCGAGACCATGCCATTGCACTCCAGCCCGCAACAGAGCATGACTGTCTCAAAAAAAAAAAAAAAAAATAGGCTGCTGAAGTGAAAATGACTCATGCCTCAGTAGCTTCAATCCTAAAATCAGGATACTGATAGTACCTACGTCAGAAAGCTGTTAGTAAAATTACATGAAATAATATCTCTAAGGCACTTAGCTTAATGCTGGGAACAAGTGAAATTCAGTAAGTATTAGCTCTTGTTAGATAAGTTGTCCCAAATCACAGCTAGTAAGTGTTTAACTAGGATTTGAATAGAATAGCTTTTTGACTCCAAAGCCCAGCTGGCCTCTTTATGACTGTGCTCTAGTAAGTAATAACTATCGTTTATTGAGCACAGCACTCCATGGTCTACAACAGTTATCTCATTTAATGCTTATCACCTCCCTGAGCTGAGCACAGCTAACTCACACAACAGGAAATCGAGGGTTGTTTCACTCCCTTGCCCAGGTTCACCTGCCCAGCTCCAGTGCCTTCTTCCCAACAGCACATTGGAGTCAGGAGGTTTGGGTCCCAGCCCCACATCTGCCACAGATCAACCTGCATCACTGAGCCTCAGTTTCCTCATTTTTTAAATAACAGCGGATGGGGCTGGGGGCTCTCTCTGTTTTTGTTTTTGTTTTTTTTTAGATGGAGTCTCACTCTGTTGCCCAGGCTGGAGTGTAGTGCCAAGATTTCCACTCACTGCAACCTCTGCCTCCCGAGTTCAAGTGATTCTCCTGCCTCAGCCTCCCAAGTATTTGGGATTACAGGTGTGCGCCCCCACACCTGCCTAACTTTTGTATTTTTAGTAGAAAGTCGGGGTTTCGACATATTGGGCAGGCGGGTCTTGACCTCCTGACCTCAAGCGGTCCGCCTGACTTGGCCTTCCAAAGTTCTGGGATTATAGGCATGAGCCACTGCACCCAGCCAATCTCTAGGGTCTCTCTAGGCTCTACTGTTCTAGGAGGGTGTATTCAATGAAATCAGACAGTGCTCCAGGTAGGAGAGAGGGATCCTGAGTCAGACAGGATCCCCGTCCCCGTCTGACTGCACAACATCAACCAACAGAGATCCAGAGGTGCTGAGGGTGGAGTCCAGGTCTCTAAAGCATTAGTCATCATCTGCTCCCACTCCCCAGGGACCAGCAGGGATGCTGATCCAATTATGCTGAATTGATGAGGGACCTCCAGGGTGATGAAAGAGAGAGGAGATGTCAGAGGACACAATGGGAGATCCGAATAATTCAGCCTGGTGAACAGAAGCCAGGAAGGACCTGCCTTCAAGTCTCCAGTGAGTCTGGGGGCTGGCAGGGTGATAACAAGAGACCAAGGCTCAGAGTACTGGGCCCTGGTTCCTAGGCTTGGCTCTAACACTAAAAGCATATGATCGTTGTTTGACAAGTTATTTCACTTCTCCAGTCTTCAGTTTCCACATCGAAAAAATCAGGGAAGGCTGGGCGCAGTGGCTTACGTCTGTAATCCCAGCACTTTGGGAGGCCGAGGAGGGCGGATCGCTTGAGGTCAGGAGTTCGAGACCAGCCTTGCCAACATGGTGAAACCCCGTCTCTACTAAAAATACAAAAATTAGCCAGGTGTGGTGGCGGGTACCTGTAATTCCAGCTACTCGGGAGGCTGAGGTAGGAGAATTGGTTGAACCCAGGAGGCGGAGATTGCAGTGAGCCGAGATTATGCCACTGCACTCCAGCCTGGGCAACAGAACCAGACTCCGTCTCAAAAAAAACAAAAACAAAAACAAAAACCACCAGGGAAAAATTTTAAAACCCACCAATTTATATAAAGACGTGTAATATTATAGCTAAAAACTAGAAGTGGGAAGAACTGCTAAGTGGGCTTGGGAGCACGGAGTTGATGCAACAGAATCTTGAAATGCTATTTAGAAAGTAGAATAACTAACATTTACTGAGCACTAACTACATGTCAGGCACTTGGCAGACAGAGAGAGGTCTTTACATGCATAAGCTCGTTTAATATCCTCAAGGGTCTTCTGAGGTAGGTATTAGTATCACATTCTTCCTTTTTTTTCTTTTTGAGACGGAGTTTTGCTCTGTCACCAAGGCTGCAGCACAGTGGTGAGATCTCAGCTCACTGCAACCTCTGCCTCCTGGGTTCAAGTTATTCTCCTGTCTCAACTTCCCGTGTAGCTGGGACTACAGGTGTGCACCACCATGCCCAGCTAATTTTTGTATTTTTAGTAGAGACAGGATTTCACCATGTTGGCCAGGCTGGTCTCGAACTCCTGGCCTCAGGTGATCTGCCTGCCTTGGCCTCCCAAAGTGTTGGGATTACAGGCCTGAGCCACTGTGCCTGGCTCTCACCATTTTTTCAGGTGAGTTCACTGAGGCCATGAGAAGTTAAGTCACCTAACTAGTTTATACTTGATGACGTCAGGACTCAAGTTCAAAGGTCCATCTAACTCCAAAGCTCACACTGCAAACCTTTACTTATACACTAGTGTTGAAGACTGTTGGATGTAAGGACTATAAGAAACAGAGATGTAGGCCAGGCGTGGTGGCTCATCCCTGTAACCCCAGCACTTTGGGAGGCCGAGGCTGGTGAATTGCTTGAGTCCAGGAGTTTGAGACCAGCCTGCACAGCATGGCAAAACCCCATCTCTTACAAAAAATACAAAAATTGGCTGTGTGCGGTGGCTCACACCTGTAATCCCAGCACTTCGGGGAACTGGGGCCGGAGGACTGCTTGAGCCCAGGAGTTAAAGACCAGTTTGGGCAACATGGCAAGACCCTGTCTTTAAAAAACCCCACAAAACAAAAAAATACAAAAATTAGCCAGGCATGGTGGCAAGTGCCTGTAGTCCCAGCTACTAGGGAGGCAGAGGAGGTGGAGAGATCTATTAAGCCCATGAGCTTGAGGCTGCAGTGAACTATGACATTGCCACTGCACTGCTACCTGGGCAACAGAATGAGACCCTGTCTTTAAAAAACCCCACAAAACAAAAAAATACAAAAATTAGCCAGGCATGGTGGCAAGTGCCTGTAGTCCCAGCTACTTGGGAGGCTCACTGGAGCCCAGGAGTTGCAGTGAGCTCACTGCACTGCACTCCAGCCTGGGCCACAGAGCAAGACCCTGTCAAAAAAAAAAAAAAAAAAAAGGGAGCAGCGGATTAGCCTGTACGGGGCAAAATGGAGCTCGAGGCCATGAGCAGATACACCAGCCCAGTGAACCTGGCTGTCCTCCCCCATCTGACTGTGGTGCTTTTGGCCATCGGCATGTTCTTCACCGCCTGGTTCTTCATTTACGAGGTCACCTCTACCAAGTACACTCGTGATATCTAAAAGAGCTCCTCATCTCTTTGGTGGCCTCACTCTTCATGGGCTTTGGAGTCCTCTTCCTGCTGCTCTGGGTTGGCATCTACGTGTGAGCGCCCAAGGGTAACAACCAGATGGCTTCACTGAACCCCTGCTTTTGTAATTTACTTTTTTTTACTGTTGCTGGAAGTGTCCCACCTGCTGCTCATAATAAAGGCAGATGTATGGCAAAAAAAAAAAAAAAAAAGGAAGGCAATAGAGAAGTGCATATATGTAACAGTGTTAAGCGGGAAATAAACCTCCAGAGTGATCGTGGGCCGGGTGTAGTGGCTCACGCCTGTAATCCCAGCAGTTTGGGAGGCTGAGACAGGCAAATCACTTGAGGCCAAGAGTTCCAGACCAGCCTAGCCAACACGGCAAAACCCCGTCTCCACCAAAAATATAAAAATTAGCCAGGTGTGGTGGCGGGCGCCTGTAATCCCAGCTACTTGGGAGGCTGAGGCAGGAGAATCACTTGAACCCAGGCAGTGGAGGTTGGAGTGAGCCGAGATAGTGCCACTGCACTCCAGCCTGGATGACAGAGGGAGGCCCTATCTCAAAAAAAGGACCAACAACAAGAACAAAAATCAGAGTGATTGTGATAACATAAGAATGTTGGTGTCAACATTAGATTTGGACACTTGTAAGTAATAGGCAATTTAGGACACTGGGAACTTACAGCCTAGATATTTATGCCTAACTTTTTTTTTTTTTTTTTTTTTTGAGATGGAGTTCTGCTCTTGTTGCCCAGGCTGGAGTGCAATGGTGTGATCTCGGCTCACCGCAACCTTCGCCTCCTGGGTTCTAGCAATTCTCCTGCCTCAGCCTCCTGACTAGCTGGGATTATAGGCATGCACCACCACGCCCCACTAATTTTGTATTTTTAGTAGAGACAGGGTTTCACCATGTTGGTCAGGCTGGTGTCAAACTCCTGATCTCAGGTGATCTGCCCGTCTCGGTCTCCCAAAGTGCTGGGATTACAGGTGTGAGCCACCCTATGCACCACCCACAGCACCTGGCCCTATGATTGACTTTTTGGTAGTAGAGATGATGATATCTGAGTAAGCACCGATGATAGGGCCTTTCTAGTCCTAATACAGAACTTTCTAGATAAGCAGACAAGGAAGGCACAGCTGCCCTTCTTCACCACTGGGAAGACTGGAAATCTGACCACACAGCTCCTGCCTCAAGCTTTTCAGTCACTTCATATTGCCTACAGCTCTGGTTCTCAACCTTGACTGTAGATTGGAATCACTTGAGAAACTTTACAAATGGCTGATGTCTGAGTTTATTCCCAGCTATGGCCGTAGCTTTGGCATGGGGAGTTTTGAAATCTCTTCAAGAGATTACAATGTGTAGCAACATTTGAAAGCCACTGGCCTAGAGGATAAAGGCACTTAGCATAGAAGGCCCCCTCTGATTTCTTTAGCATGCTCTCCTATATGTTTTATTCTACAATCCAGTTACAATGTCCTGAACATGCAGCACCTTGCCTTTTACATGCCTTTACCTTATTTCTTCTGCCTGGATTGCCTTTCTTCTCCCTCATCCATCCGGAAAACTCCATTCATCTTCAATACTGTGGCAAGCCAGCCTCCAAGATGACCCCAGTCATCGTTACCTCCTGGTTTTCATGTTCCTGTATAATGCTCTACTGCACTGAATAGGGCTGACTTGTGTAATAATGTAATACTGTAGAAACGATGATGGAGTGTGACTTCTAAGGATGGGTTTTTACAATTTTTTATTTATTTATTTATTTATTCAAGACAGTGTCTCACTCTGTTGCTCAGGCTGAAGTGCAGTGGCACGATTTTGGCTCACTGCAACCTCCGCCTCCCAGGTTCAAGTGATTCTCCTGCCTCAGCCTCCTGAGTAGCTGGGACTACAGGCGCGTGCCACCATGCCTGGCTAATGTTTTTTTTTTTGTATTTTTTGGTAGAGACGGGGTTTCACCACATTGGCCTGGCTGGTCTTGAATTCCTGACCTTGTGATCCACCTGCCTCAGCCTCCCAAAGTGCTGGGATTACAGGTGTGGGCCACCGCGCTCGGCATGAGGATGGGTTATAAAAGAAACTGTAGCTTCCATCTAACTCTCTCTTGGATCCTCTGCTTTGGGAGAAGCTATCTGCCAAGTCTTGAGCATTAGTCCTGTGGAGAGCTCCACATAGTGAGGAACTGAGGCCTTTTGCCAACAGCCACGTGAATGCACCATCTTGGAAATGGATCCTCCAGCCCCACTCAAGCCTTCAGATGCCAGCTGATGTCTTGACTGCAGCCTCACAAGAGCCTTCAGGTGGAACCACCCAACTATGCCACTCCCGAATTCCTGAGCCATAGGCAGTGTGAGATGTTTGTTGTTCTAAGCTGTTAACATTTTGGAATAGTTTCTTAGGCAGTAATAGATAGTAAATAAACAAACCACATTCAAGTATATAACACTCTGTGAAGCCTTCTTAGCCCTCTCCCCTGCTGAACTGAACTGAACACCCTGTGCCACTTATGAGCCATACACATCCCCTATTATAGCACTCATCACATGAGCCCTAACTGTTGACTTGCCCTTCTTGCCCTTAGGTTCAATTCCACAAGGACAGGGCTGGCCATAGTGCAGGCATCAGTGTGCTTGTAGAATATAGGAACGTGCATGAGAACTGCCATCTGAGTCATTTCCTATAGGCCTTCTAGCCCAGGCTGCTTCTTATACAAAAGCTTCAAAAGCTGCGCATGGTGGCACACACCTGTAGTCCCAGCCACTTGGAAGGCTGAGGCAGGAGGACCACATGAGCACAGGAGTTTGAGGCTGCGGTGAGCTGTGATTGTGCTCCTGCACTCCAGCCTGGGCAACAGAATAAGATCCCATCTCTTAAAAAAAAGACCCAAAACTCCATGGTACAGTTGCCAGAAATCATGGATGTCATGGTGAAAGGGTGGGTCCTGAGGATTTTCTTAATAATCCAACAAAACCCTGGCATCCATGGATGTATCTAGAACACTAGACTACAAGTCAGAAGATCTGGATTTTAATTCAAATCTGCCAACTACCTGCTGAATTTCTTTGAGCTCTGGTTTTCTCATGGACCAAATAATTTAAGGCCTCTTCCAATTCTAAAATTTAATGATTCTGTATTTTCAGCTAGCAATTACTCTTATTTCATAAAATAGGCTAGTAGGCCAGGTGCAGTGGCTTACGCATGTAATCCCAGCACTTGGGGAGGCCAAGGCGGGCAGATCATGAAGTCAGCAGTTCAAGACCAGCCTGGCCATCATGGTGGAACCCCAACTCTACTAAAAATACAAAAATTAGCCAGGCGTGGTGGTGGGCACCTGTAATCCCAGCTACTTGGGAGCCTGAGGCAGGAGAATCGCTTGAACCTGGGGGGCAAAGTTCGCAGGGAGCTGAGACCACACCATTGAACTTCAGCCTGGGTGACAGAGCGAGACTCCATGCCAAAAAAAAAAAAAAAGAAAATAGACTAGTAGGCTTATATCATAGCAAGGATTCTCAACTTCACTGTGTATTAGGAAGTAATATTCCTGGAAGTTACACACACGTACACACCTGCGCCCCCCTTCAGACCTTCTGAATCAGCATCTCTGGATCTCTAGAGTCATGACCAGGGTATCTGTATCTTTATTTTTATTTTATTTATTTATTTGAGATGGAGTCTTGCTCTGTTACCCAGGCTGAAGTGTAGTGGCATGATCTTGGCTCACTATAACCTCTATCTCCTGGGGTCAAGTGATTCTACTGCCTCAGCCTCCTGAGTAGCTGGGATTACAGGCGTGCATCACCACACCCAGCTACTTTTTGTATTTTTAGTAGTATTTTTAGGGGTTTTACCATGTTGGCCAGGCTGGTTTCAAACTCCTGACCTCGAATGATCCACTCGCCTTGGCCTCCTAAAATGCTGGGATCACAGGCATGAGCCACTGTGCCTGGCCTGTATTTTTATACAGTTCCCAAGTGATTTGGATGTGCATCTAGAGCTGAGAATCACTAATCTACAATATTTAGTCTAGAGATTTTAAAAAATTTTTCTGCCAGCTGGTTGGCTCTGCAGTTTACAGGGTACAGTACTAATGGGTTTGTCCCCTGAATTGTTCACTTTATACAAGGTGTATGAATGAATGGAGCCCATGTTTACTGCTAGAAAAACAATTCAAGGTGTACATTTTACTGTCAGAATTCAGTCTGGTCTTCAATTAAAACAGGTCTTGGACCTAACTGCTTAGTGCATTTAGCTGGATATCAAGTTGTGGGCTACTTTAGCCTACCTAAGGTCAAGAATTGTGAGATAGTAATGACCAGGAGTTAAGAGCACTGACTCTGGGCCCGGCACAGTGGCTCACACCTATAATCCTAGCACTTTGGGAGGCTGAGGCAGGCAGATCACCTGAGGCCAGGAGTTTGAGACCAGCCTGGCCAACGTGGTGAAATCCCATCTCTACTAAAAATACAAAAATGAGCTTGGCATGGTGGAGTGTGCCTGTAGTCCCAGCTACTTGGGAGGCTGAAGCATGAGAATTGCTTGAACCTGGGAGGTGGAGTTTGCAGTGAGCAGAGATCACGCCACTGCAATTCGGCCTGGGCAACAGAGTGAGACTCTGTCTCAAAAAAAAAAAAAACCCCAAAATCCCCACTGACTTTGGAGCCAAACCACTTAGGTTCAAATACTGGTTCTAGCACTTACATGCTGGGTGACTTGGCTAGGCTAGAAATCTTTCTGAACCTCACCTTCATGATCTACAAAACGAGGCTAACACGCACTCTCTTACTGGAATGTTGTTAGGATTAAATGATACAATGCAGGGTATCTGGCCAGAATAAGTGCTCGTTAAGAAGTAGCACATTAGGACAAAACAAAAATATGGCACTTTTTATACTTAACAGCAACGTATACGTGTCTAGTGCTTTGACATCTTACATTAAGCCCATCCCTAATCCCACCCAAAAAATTCTGAGGTGGGCAAGGTAGACGCCAGTGACCCCATTTTGCAGAAAAAGAAACAAAGGCTCAGAAAGATTCACTGGCTCCAGATCAAACAACAAAAGAAAAATGTCAGAGTCTGGATTCAAACCTGGGTGTGATTCCATGAAGATGAATAATTATATATACACACTTGGCAGGCTGAGCATCTCGGGGCCATCTGGCTTAACAGGCTGAAGAGGACTGTATTTCTGATC